AGAGTTACGATTGAGAGATGACATTGAGAAGTTGAGAATTCAGCAAGAGCAGACTCTTGGGACTCTTGACACAAAGATAGAAGCGATGATGGAGATGCGAACTCAAGCTATCATGGATAGGTTGGATGGGCTACTAGGAAACAGGAGTGGATCGAAGATTGGGGAAACAAACTCAAGAGAATCCAGCAGGAGTCGAGAGTGAACCTCAAGGAACAACCCAATAGAAGAAGGACTTGTGGATTCACTAGAGGATGTGGCAGTTCATCCAGCTATGCCAGAGGGGACAAAAGGCCGCGGGGCCCAAACATCAGAGGAAGTTCAACTGGCAACAGACCGACCTCAAACGAACGACTGACGCAAGATACACACATGCGAGTGGGAGATGTGATTCCATGAAGTTGAATCATGCGAATCAAGGAAGAAGCCATCCGAGCAATTCGAACAGAAGGGAAAACCCAGAAACTCTATCAGGGGGCAATGCTGCTCAAGCAGGGCATTCAAGGACGCAACATCAATGGCCACTGCCTTTGAACCTCTGAACAGGTCCTTGGAAACATTTCTAACGAGGTTATCTAGAACCACTGAACGCAGTGAAAAGTCCAGAAGGGTTTTTAAGAAACCAAGATGCTATAAAGACGAATCTGATGGCTGTATTGATACCTGGATAAAGGTAATGAAACTGCATTTTGAAGACGAGGACTTGACAGAAAGACAAGAATGCAGTGCGCTCACCAGTAACCTGGAAGGGACAGCCCTAAACTGCGTGATGGCCAAAAAGCAGTACCAGTGGGACACTGCTGAGAAATTTTTTTGAATCTTGTTAAATTGTTTTGGCTCAGGGTTGCCAGGACACAAGGCGATGATGCGCTTCGAGAAACGGAGGCAACGTGAAGACGAGATGATACACAAGTTTCTAGACAATTTGGAGATGCTTAGAAGGCGTAGCCAACCAGATGAGTCGAACAGGAGGATGAACCTGGCATTAGCCTCAAAAATCATCGATGGTGTGAAGAATGATGAGCTTCGAACGATGTTAGCGACACATTACACACCACTTTCAACAAATGCGCCAACACCAGAGGAGATGAGACTCAAGTCAAAGAAAATCTTTTACTGAAGCCTCCATCGAGATCTGGATTTTACAAAAACAATTATGGCAATTTTAACAATGGACCAGCAAACCAAGGTAACAACTGGTACAAACCAAGGGACGATATGGACAAGAGACGCTCTTGTCCAAATTGCAGTTCGACGGACCATCATGTGTCAGCATACCCAACCTACAAACATGGCATGAAAGCAATAGGCTTTAGCCTCGAGGATGAAGATACGTCAGAGGTCGATCATGAAGATTTCATGAGGGGAGTAATTGCAAAATTTGGCCCAAAGTGTTTCTTTTGTAACTTGGAAGGTCATTTTAAATCAGATAGCGCACAATTTTGGGATGCTGTGGCAGGCATCAAGCATCCAAGGCATGAGGAAGATTTATCGGGTGTGAAAGCCAGCAAGGCTTGCCTGTTGAGTGAAGCGGAGGCACGTAGAAAGGAGAAACCGCAAGAGCTGGCAACAAAGAAGATGCAGGCAGTAACTGAAAAAATGCGTGAACCTGAACCAGTGAAGGCGGCAGTTGACAAAAAGATTGACTATAGGTTAGCCGCGAGAGATGCTTTAAACAGATTCCAGCAGGAGTTAGTGACGAAGGAGATCGAACAAAAGGTGAAGTTCAAACTAGAGAATGAGAAAATTCAGGAAAATCTAAACGCCTTCGAGGCATCAGAAGTCGAAGAAACGAAAGCACCAAGCAGTTTGAACATGAAACTAAACGTGATCTCTGGGCAGAAGTTCGGCATGGTGCCACAAGGAAGTAGAATACAGTCAATAACTTCAGTTGCGGAACATCAGGTGGTCAGGAACCTAAGTGAACCCTCAGAGTTCACTATGATGCATTTAGATACATATGCAGATTATCTGAGACAGGTAGAGCCACGCACTGAGTCGAGGGCTGTGCGAGCGTGGTTGACAACGGGTGGCCCTCGAACAAAGAAAATCCACGGGCGCTACGTGGAAGTCTATGGACCGTATCAGGTGATGTTGATCGTTGACGGAATCAATATCTATTCTAGGACCTACGTCACAACCGATAGTGACCAAATGGGGCAGATCTATTTGGGTCAGGAAGAACTCAGGTCCGTAGAATCGGCCACGATGCCATGATGGAGCAAGATGCTGAACACATAGGGTACGAGGCAGATGTGACTGCACATCTGCTAGACACCAATGGGAATAAAATTGGAGTAACAGGACTACTGGATACAGGAGCAGTGGTAAGCTGGATGCCAATAAAGACTTGGGAAAGAATGGGCTTCACGAGGGAAGATCTAATTCCAACGAACCTCAGACTTGCGGCCACCAACCGCGGAGCAATCTACGTGGCCGGAAGGACACCAATAATGGTCCTTCACATGGGAGGACGCGATCTTTGGATGAGCCTCCTGGTTGTTGAGAACTTAGACGACTCATAGATATTTCTTCTTGGGCCGTAATTTTGTCCGGAATTTTGATGTGATGATTGACTTAAACAACGGCCTAATAAAGATTAGAAATCCGGACCGAAAGTATGTTAAGAGACCAATTAATAGAACAATAACAGATGAAAACACTGTACCATTTTTTTAGATTGAAAGATAAAACTACATTCGTTTTAGTAATTAAGTAATAGTAAACAGGTTTGTCTGGTGCGCAACCCAAATAGCCAAAGCTCGGTGATTTTAGGCCGGAGCTTTTCAGTAACACGAAACGGGCTGTGTGCCAGTGGGTTGTTGAACACACTGGGCACCACGGTTTCGATCCAGAGTGGAAAGAAACTTGGTTACGCTTTGCCGACGAAGACCGACTATGAAGAGACACAAAACTTGAAGAGATATAACGTGAAAGACTGCCCGAATCACCGAATCACGTGATAAAATTTTTTTTAAAGAGAATTGATGAATTTAAATCTATTAATAAACTGTTATCAATGAAATCCGAAACGGATGACGGTTTGTCGAGCTGCTCGAAAATTGTGGAACGCCTCTCGTCATATGAATTAGAATCCGACAAACCGGTTTTGTCGGAGATAGAACACTCGAGAGGGAAAATTGTTGAGGGAGATTTTGAATCATTAAGGGTGGTTTTAAATCGGAATACGGAAGTGTTTTCAAAACATAAGGCAGATATCGGTTGTTGCAACTTCGTCGAACACGGAATAGAATTGGAGAAAGACGCCATTCCTCATAGAGAAGGCGCGAGGTGAATGACGCCTCTTTAATCGGAAGCGTGCCGAGCGGAACTAGAAATGTTGCTCAAATACGACAAGATAGAACCCTCGAAATCGCCTGGGGCTTGTGGGGTAGTCATGGCCAAGAAGAAGGGGAGCAGCTTAGGTTCTGTTGCGACTTTTGTTACCTGAACGCAGTGACAACGAAAGATGCGTACCCGATAACGCGAATAGTTGAGAGCCTCTCGAAACTTGGAGACGCCAAGTTCTTCACCACACCGGACTTGGGTTCTGCCTTCTGGCAGGTCCCTCTGCGGAAGAAAGACAAAGAAAAGACCGGATTCGCATGTGAATTGGGGTTGTATCAGTGGAAGAGGATGCCCTTTGGTTTGTGCAACGCAACGGCCACTTTCGAGAGACTGATGGCTCAGGCTTTGACCAGAGTGACGAAGAAGTACGGGAACCTTGTGATGTCTTACGTGGATGACGTGGTCATAGCAACTCCCACCTTGGAAGACCACATTGATCAGCTCGATGAGATCTTTGGTTGCATGAAAAGAGCAGGCTTGAAATGCAAACCATCGAAATGTGAAATCCTTAGGGATTCAATCAAGTATCTGGGAAGAATGGTGGGCACGCATGGCGTAAGGCCGGACCCGGAAGCAGTGGAGGCTGTGTTGACATGGAAGGCTCTCAGAACGGACACACAACTCATGAGCTTCCTAGGGTTTGCCAACTATTACCGTGCGTTCATAAAAGGATACGCAGGCAAGGTGTACCCATGCCGAAACTGATGCACAACAAAGGAAAGAAGTTCGAATGGAACGAAAAAGCTCAAGCTGCGTTCGAGAACATGAAGCGGGAACTGTGCGAAGCGCCAGTGCTGGGCATGCCTACAGAGAAGGGCATGTATGTTCTTGACACAGATGCATCAGTAGTGGCTACTCAGGAATACTGCATCAGGAGGAGGAATGGAATGAGAGAACATTTCTCCGTCTCATTGCATATGGCAGTAAAGTATTGAGTGACACTGAAATGAAGTATGGTGCACCAAAGGCAGAAATGTTTGCGGTGGTCACATTCGAGGAGAAGTACCGCGCATACTTAGGGAGTGCTCCCTTTAAGTTACGCGTGGACAAAATGTTATCCTGGTTGAAGACGTACTCGATGGACCAAAGCGATATTGGTCGGTGGATCGTCAGATTAGATGGCTACCACATGATAATCGAGCACATGATGCGCGACAAACAACAGAATGCTGACAAACTCAGCAAGAAGCATCTACCGTAAATAATCATCTGTCTGGGTTCAGTGATATATCATATTAAAGCTCTTTTAGTCGTGATTCGAATGACATTCGAACGACGTTGAGAAAAACCAGTTTGATTTTTCGTCGAATTTTGAGCGAGTGAGCAGGCTTACTTTAGCTTATTAATGCATAATTTGAGCCTTGAAAATTTAGTTTCATCATTACGAAGTTGGTAGTTTTTGGAATTTTAGCTTCATCTTAGGAATCAAGAACATTAAAAATTTTTGGGAAAAAATTTTGAAAAATTATTTAAATTTTTTTTAAATTTTTTTGTTTTCCTTGTTATTTGTCTTCAAAAATTGTTTTCCACTTTGCATATTTTACATGGTTGACGAAAATTCCTAAGCTCTACTTTCGCTCAATTTTTTTATCACCCCAAGCCGAAAAAACGACACAAATTGGAAAAATAATTTGTTGCCTAATTGTTGTGATAAGCTTATTAAATAGTTTCCGATATGATGGATGCAGAACCAAGACACTGACACGATCAATATCGGAACCGGACTGCTCCAGCAGTGCCAAAAATTTGGAGGTGTGGATCATGCTCGAGACTGATAGGCAAAATTGACTATAAAAGAAATCAAGAAATGGTCTAACAGTAAATGGCACTGTGGATGCGACAACTCAGTGGATGCAACAACGAGTGAAGGACATGATGCGACAGGGAATCAGCCAGATGTGGAACGATGTGGAGAAGATATTGTGGACTCCCGCTGTCAATTACTCGTCAATCCGAGTGGCGGCGAAAGCGGAAGATCGGGCCTCTCACAGGCGATGGCGGAGATGCAGATATCCGACGAGCCACCAAATATGGATGACCAACATGACCATTTCGCGACGATTGCACCACCAACTCAGAACCTGGCAGCAGACACATGTGAGGATCTCCCTTCATTTGTAGAAAACAGTGCAGCGATTGAAGGTCAATGGGGTAAATATCAACAAAATACTTTTGCGAGCAAGGTCAACGAGTACTACGATTTTGCCATACACTGGAAGAGAAATGCCTTCGATATTCCACATGGAAATGCCGTCAAAGTTCTCATTGAGGAACTCACAAAACTGCTTGACATGCTCAATGAAAAAAATTCGATGCAAGGTTTTTCAATAAAAGCTTTCCATTTGCTGATAGCTTTCGTCTTGCAGAAACCTTCCAAAGATTCTAAAGCGAAAGATCATTTGAAGTATCTAGAGAAGCGTTTAGCATGGTGGAGAGACGGTGACCTTGATTTGTTGTACAAAGAGTGCCGCACTATACAAGGCGAGTTATGAAAAACCTTTAGAAAGAGTGACAATAAAATGAAAAATTTCTGCAATTTGGTTCTCCAAGGGAGACTGAGCGCTGCCATGAAAATCTTATCACAAAAGGATGCTACTGGAGTGCTACCTCCCACAGAGCACGTGAGAGTAAAGATGGCCTTGTTAAATCCGATTGGTCAAGATGTAAACCGGGAAGAATTGCTACAAGGTATTCCTCCCGAAGTCCATCCCGTGATCTTTGAGATTCTAGGTGCGAAGAGGATCTATTAGCGACTCTTCGGACTCATGGATCCTCAGGTCCATCAGGTTTAGATGCGAACAATATGAAGAAACTCTTCTGTTCCAAGAAGCACAATAGAGCCTCAGAAAGTCTATATGAGTCCTTAGCCGCTCTAAGAAGGAGAATATGCACCGAGTTTGTTGACCCAAAGTCACTAGAATCATATATAGCATGCAGAGCAATTACACTGAATAAAAATGATGGTAAAGGCGGCATAAGGCCAATAGGCATTGGAGAGATAATTAGAAGAGTCCTCCGGAAAGCAATAGATCAAATTTTTGGTGCCGATATTTGCCATGCAGCAGGATCACAGCAAACCTGCGCAGGTGAAGAAGGTGGCGTTGAAGCAGCAATTCATGCAGCCAGGGAAATTTTCCAGATGGAGTCCACAGAAGCCAATCTATTGATTGATGCTGAGAATGCTTTTAATCGTCAAACCGCCCTTCTTAACATAAGGCATATATGCCCAAAAATCAGCACTTATCTTATCAATATTTATCGGTTGCCAGCCAGACTCATTCTAGGCGAAGGAGTAGAAATTTTATCACAGGAAGGCACCACTCAAGGAGATAATAGCGATGGCATTTTATGCGCTGAGCTTGAAAAAATTTCTTGTCAGTCTAAACAAAATTGGGTGTCATCAAGAGTGGTTCGCTGACGACGCCGGAGGCCTTGGGAATTTAGTTCAACTCCGTGAGTGGTTTGATCTTTTTACCAGTATTGGCCCCAAGCTTGGGTATTTTCCGAAACCGTCGAAATGTTGGTTAGTAATAAAAAGCGAGGGTCTCCGCGAGCAAGCCAACTAGGTCTTTGAGAACACGAATATCAACATCGCAAGCGAAGGACGTCCATACTTGGGAGCGGCAATTGGCAGCCAGAACATCACAAACGACTATCTACGAGACAAAGTTAAAGAATCGTCGAATGAGTTGTCTTCGCTGGAAGCAGCGGCCAAAACGGAGCCCCATCTTGCCTATATTGCTCTCGTCAAGGTGATCCAGAGTCGGTGGAATTTTATAATGAGGACTATTCCTGGTTGTGAACTGCACATGCAGCCACTTGAAGCCAAACTCAGGAACGTTGTTTCTCTTTTAGTCGACAGAACTCTCAGTGATCTAGAACGGGACATCATAGCATTGCCATGCTCAGCTGGTGGTTTAGGTCTGATAAATCCAACAGAATGTGCGTCTCTTTTCTATGAAAACTCTGTCAAGCTGACAAAAAAAATGAAAAACGCAATTATTGCTAAACAAGATCTTATTGACTACACGAATAGGACTGGACGAGCAGAAATTTCAGGATCGAACCGGAAACATGCAAAACAAGCCCTCGAAATTGTAATAGGAACCGAAAACTGAAGCAATAAACAAAACAAAACAAGTTCGGTTACAGTTCAGAAATTGGTTGATTAAAATATATGAAGTTACGGATACTAAAAAAACATCAGTTTCAAGAATTAAGAACGAGCTGGTATTAAAACTTTACAAACAATTTTACAGATAGTCCAAACATACAGCGTATATACAGAGGATATACAGATTCTCTTTCAAACAATGTGTGAAAAATTAAACTAAATTAAAACATATAGAACTAGCAAAAACGGAAATCACGCCACCTATTTGTATTTGTACGTATTGGATTGTTTCTCAATTCACTCACGTAAAATTCTTTCAATTTTTTCTTGAATCCTGTTCTCGATTTTTTCTAAATTGCGCAAAATTATGGGCAGTGAATTCCATTTTTTAGAAGTCAAATGAAAAAATGATTTTTGTAGAGAAGCGGTTGAACAATGTTTGTCAAAAATAATTTGTTTCGTTCGCTAAATTGCGCAAAATTATGGGCAGTGAATTCCATTTTTTAGAAGTCAAATGAAAAAATGATTTTTGTAGAGAAGCGGTTGAACAATGTTTGTCAAAAATAATTTGTTTCGAGGAGGCAGAGAGATATCATGCTATACTGGCGGAAAAAATGAGTGAGAAGCTGAACTGTACGTATGCGGACACTATGAACTATATCCGGAAGAAGCTCTCCTTCACCATCCTGAAAACTGCCTTGATAGCCTTGAGAGGACACCGGAAGAAACAGCAATACACGTCCTGTAGTACCCGAGACACCGACATAAACATTTTGTGCCACAATCAATAAACATACCTCATCGAATATCATTCCAGCATAAATTGTACACTTTCAGTATTTCTCCATACTTTATACCGATGGTTAATTCAAAACCTTTCCCAAAAATTTTTTTTTTAAGACTGGTCGGAGCGGAGCATTCTGTGCTACTTGCACAGTAACCGGTTATCCTTGTTTTTTTAAGTTTTCACAAAGTGTGCAAGACCCATATTTCTTTCTTGCTTTTTCCTGGGTCCCAACTATCTCAATTGTACCCCGGTTCAAGCTAAAATACGTTTGAAATCTTTCAGAGATTCATGGTTTTTTGCAAGCCGATTTATTGATGGAAAAGTGCTTGCTTGTTGTTACTAACGCAGACGATAATAGTTCGATCTATTGTGAATTATATCAGCAATTGACAGCATCAGCTGATTGGATTGGGTCAAGTAAAGCAACACGATTCAAATGTAGTCTTTATTTGGGCGAGCGAAATGGCTTACCTTATTCTAAGCTGGCTATATTTTCAACGGGAGAAAGAGTCCTCATCAATTATTATAAAGGTAGTGATGTAATCTGCAGAAAAAGTCAACTAGCTCGAACGCTGAAATTTTTTAATCTTGATGGAGAAAAGTGGCTACCATTGTCTTTCACTGTGACTCCAGGACGCAGTGAAACAGATGACCGAATACTACTCAAGGAGCAAATGCAAAAACAAGATTCTCTTTTTATAGTTAAGGTTAGATAAAACATTACAAAGGTAGTAATAAAACAGTTAGTTGGCAAAAAACTTGTATCAATATTGCCTCAATTAAAAGTTTTTGTCCGAAGACATCAGACATCTAGAAAAATTCAGTTTGATGACAACATAAAAATAACAAAGGAAGAAAAGCCCAAAACAGTTTATTGAGGCTGTAAGAACCGGATTGTAAAAGTTAATTCTTGGAAGTTTTAGCAGCTAAGTGCCTAGTCAGAATACTTTAAACATACCAATTTAAGTGGCGATAAAACATCATTTCATGAAATATGAAACATTTTATAATGTTTTGATTTTAAACCAATGTGTAGTTTAATCTTAATTTAACTTCAATGAAAAACGAAAAATGTTAGGGAACTATTATTCAATGTTAACTATCTATCTCGTAAATCCTTTGTGCGTGTTCATGGTCTGCTTCTCTTTTCTGAAGAAGAAGAAGAAAGAACACCTGAATTACTATACAATAAAAGCCGAGGCATCAGTATAGCAAAGTGTAAATAATAAAGTTGGTTAAAGTTCATTGGTTACATCAAACAAAAACACAACATCAGAAAACAAGCAATAAACAAAACAAAACAAGTTCGGTTACAGTTCAGAAATTGGTTGATTAAAATATATGAAGTTACGGATACTAAAAAAACATCAGTTTCAAGAATTAAGAACGAGCTGGTATTAAAACTTTACAAACAATTTTACAGATAGTCCAAACATACAGCGTATATACAGAGGATATACAGATTCTCTTTCAAACAATGTGTGAAAAATTAAACTAAATTAAAACATATAGAACTAGCAAAAACGGAAATCACGCCACCTATTTGTATTTGTACGTATTGGATTGTTTCTCAATTCACTCACGTAAAATTCTTTCAATTTTTTCTTGAATCCTGTTCTCGATTTTTCTAAATTGCGCAAAATTATGGGCAGTGAATTCCATTTTTTAGAAGTCAAATGAAAAAATGATTTTTGTAGAGAAGCGGTTGAACAATGTTTGTCAAAAATAATTTGTTTCGTTCGCTAAATTGCGCAAAATTATGGG